ACGCAAAATACGCTTATGTGGAGACGGGACGATCATACGCAAAATACGCTTATGTGGAGACGGGACGATCATGCGCAAAATGCGCTTATGATAGCATGTTCACGTTAGGGAGTTGACGCACCATAGCCGCTGATGGCTGAAGAAGGAATTTCATTCTGATCTTAAATGGAAATCCTAACTACATGGAAATAAACTGTTTGATTGGGCAATTACTTATCGTGTATCATCTAAAGCATATTTTGGATAAATAGTTGTTAAAGCTCGCATGAATCTAGTTAAAACATTTGAACTTTGAGCTATAAGTTATGCCAATCTGTCAACACGAGCGTAACATGTGTCTCTGAGCGCCCGCTACTCTGTTGTGCGAATTTGCACGGCGTTATGGCTTGTGATTGCGGTTTTCTGTGGTTCAAAGAGCGGCGTTCTTGGCTCCATGGCAGAGGCAGATACCGTGGCTGAGCGTATCACGGTATGCAACGCCGCTTTGTCTCGGTTGGACCGCCCTGTCTGCCGCCCCTGTCTCTTGTTGCATTGTTTGTCATTCCCTCTTCGTTGATTTCTCCTACCTCCTTGACATCAACTAGGTCTTATGTAAATGTTAAAACGCCTTCGTTTGCCGTAGTCTATAATGACTTATGTTTCTCCTGAAATGATCTAGAAAAGGCCTTAACAGCCGTTTTCACGACGGGCTATCCGGCGAGTGCACCTGATTGAACCTGATTTGACCAAATCTGCACCTAATTTATTTTACAGCAAATATCTTTATTTTATGAATTTATTTCAGTGCTCGATGATACTCTCTGATAATATGACAAAGCAGGCATATAAGCAAATAGTGCAACCCTAGCTGATAGCTACTAAGAGACACACTGAACCTGATTTGACCAAATCTGCACCTGTCTGCACCAGATGTGCACCAAATGTGTACCAGATGGCCGTCGTGAAAACGGCTAATATGTAAGCTCCAGCAGGTACTCCACTTCCGCTTGCATGTTTCACTTATTCTTTATAAAATAAATAATGCCATTTATTTCACACCATCATTGGTGCATTCTTTTATTCTTTGAGCACTCACCCTTTCAGTATAGTGCATACCCTCTTCTCTCCAGCTTCTCTTCTCCCTCCCTCTCTCTCTCTCTCTCTCTCTCTCTCTCTCTCTCTCTCCCTCTCTCTCTCTCTCTCTCTCTCTCTCTCTCTCTCTCTCTCTCTCTCTCTCTCTCTCTCCTGTCTCGGCCGCCGCCGTTTCGCCGTGGACCGACAAAGGCTGCTCGGGGCCGATATTGGGCCGCCGGAAAAGGCTGAGCCCCCGGCGTCATGAGCCGGCAGCTGACAGGAATTCAGATCGGTCACCGTCTTCGCCAGCTCCGCGGCTGGGTGTACGATAGACCGGCGGGCAGCAGAGAAAAGTTGGGAGAGGATAGTGGTGCGCAATGGAGAAAAGTGAGGCCCGTGAAAGAAGATCGAGCAAAGTTTAATTGAAGCAAGGAATATACGAGTATTCATGATCATCTACGACAAAAGGTAGAGCGAAAAAAATGGTTGATGAAAAGGCCAAAGCACATTTCCATGAGGTGGTCGGCAAGCTAAAAGTAAAAGGCAGATGGTAAAAGAAAGTTAACTTGGCAGAATTAGATAATACAAATGATTTTGTCCGTTGTGTTTATCTTTACATCTGAATAACCACGAAGAAGGAAGAATACTAAAATACTAAATACGAAAAGAGGAAATGAATACGACGCTGGCTATATGTAGGTCAGTTCTTTCGGTCAGAAGAGAGAGAGTGAAAGAGAGAGAGAGGGAGAGAGAGAGAGAGAGAGAGAGAGAGAGAGAGAGAGAGAGAGAGAGAGAGAGAGAGAGACAGACAGACAGACAGACAGACAGACAGACAGACACACAGAGAGAGAGAGAGAGACAGAGAGGCTGCTCTCTCCACAGCCACCCACCGGGAGAGGGGGACGGATCCATTTGTATTCAGGTGACAGCCCCGGCAGGCGAGGTAGATATGACTTATCGCTTCGCCTGGTAAATCGGTGTATGGGAGTATGTGGGCAGACAGCGACGTCTATTTACAATGTATTCACTACCCAATGACTTCATCCACAAATGTTCCCATGAAATAAATGGCCATTCACGAGTTGACAGCAAAATGATCGCACAAAACAGATCAATTTTGTCTTCCATTTTCAACCGCTTGAATGACGTGCTTCCCAATTCGTCCAGATATGACGCAAAAAATAGCTTATCCATAAAAAGAAAACCATAATTCAAGTGATTGATGGTGTTTCTGTTCCGAAATTTGAAATACATATCATCAATCTCGGTCGCCGAGATCGGTCGTTGAGAATCGACCATCGGAAAACACATCTCACTCAGGCGCGTCTGGCATGTGTGAGGGTCAAACAAGCAGGCTGTCCAGGAAGTACATACGGTGATGTCGGCTGGCAGGGGACAGGCTCTGATGGACTGCACTGACAGACAGGCAGCTGGAGACAGACCCTGGCTCGTGTCTGTTTGGACATGGGGGTCCGATGGGGGCAGAAGGAGCTGGTGTGGACGGGGTAGGAGATTGAACTGCAGAGGGGGTGGATGGAAAGATGAAAGGGTTTGATCTGGATGGACTGTCTGCATAAGGCGGTAGCTCCAAAGTTTTCGATGCAAAAACCACAAAAAGATGGGGAAGTGAAGCTGGACAGTGGACAGGGGACGTCAGTGGAAATGGTTTCCTGAAGATGTTGATGATTACATTATTTCTGTTAGGTATATGCCTTCCACATGGATTATTATAGCGCGAACTTGCGCTGAAGGTTATCTGGTATTTTTACCACAACCCCTGGCGCCTGAGCCCCTCGGCCTTCAGGTCACTGACCGAGTCTGCTTACAAAACCCACCCCTCCCTTCGCCCGGTGATGGCAGGGGTTCTGCGCGCCGACACCATCCGTCACGGATCACTCTTCGATTGAGGTCAATCGCATCAGCGCGGCCAACGCCGACAAGCGCGCGGTGCAATCCGGCGTCCGCCCCGCCCCATATTTATATCCACACAGCCCAGCTTATTGACATTGGCCAATTGATGAATGTGTCTCGCCAGGCACGGGTGCTGATTGACTGCCAGCAGAAAGGCCCGACCTGTTTCCTGATGGGCCTGCCGCGCCTGGCACCGCCGTCCGAACGTCCCTGCTGACCGAACGCAGCCGAGAAAACTGCGCGCACCAGACACGGCGAATTAAATTACCAAAATGGGATACCTTCAACCGGAGTGACAAGCATGAAACCAAATCGGAACAAGTCATTTTCGAGCGGCGTGTGCGATGTCGAAGATGTCACGTTCGTCGGTCAGTTCAGTCACCCCGATCTTGGCGGGAGGATGTGCCCAACTTCCGAGCGGGGAGGGTGGGGAGGTACTGGCTCCGCTGGAGGGACAGATTGTCCGGAAATTGCGTGGGACCTGGAGCGGTCCGGAGATAAGACGACCACTGTTTTATTGCGCCTCGGTCTGGGCTGTGTCCTAATGAGTGGCTGAGAGCTAAAATAAGGGCTGTCTCGAGTACTGTTGTGGATGAAGGGCTGAGTGGTATCAGGTTTCTGAGCGGTAGCAAGTAAAACTTACTGTGGATAGACAATACTTTCCTAAACCAGGTCAAAATTTATAGATGTTCGCGTCCTTCATTTCAGTGAAAGCATCCCTACCATACTTGCAGGCGATGCTCGTCAGCTACATATATGTTTCTCCATCCGCATTTATCCACCTTTCTTCTTTTTTCTTTGCATTCAATCGCTAGCCTCCCAAAAATCCACCTCTGCCTTCAACTTCCGTCAGCCCTCTCCTCCAACCCACTTTCCTCTGCCTCGCACCATGCCTTCTCCCTCTATCTACCCCTCTTCCCTCTCCCTCTCTCCCGCCACCTCTCTTTCCGCTCGTACCGGACCGGTGCGGCGATGGGTGAGCGGTGTCGGCGGAGGGCGGTGTGCGCGGCAGTGGAGTGCGGTGGGGTGCGGTGGGGCGGTGGTGGGGTGCGGTGGGGTGGTGGCGGGGTGCGGTGTCGGCACCAGATGATGGACCGCCGACCGCCGGTATCGATGACGACGGCCCTGTGATGAGATTGTGTCGGCAGCCGATCCTGCACGGTGGCTGTGCTGGAGACGAGGGAGGCGGCTCGGTGGGATGACTCTAATGGGATGACGAGCCCTCTGTACCGGTGTACTAGATCGCATCAGAGTTGCGAGTGATGGAGCGAACCGAACTGAGAGATCACTTAGCAGATAGGTGTGTGGGCTTCTTGGGTTAGCTCATCAATCTCGGTTTTCGGGATTGATTTCTTTTTTTGCAGCGTGTTCGTGCAGCTTGTAAGCAGAAATGTGATAAGAGATGTCCTGATGCATTGAGGACTTGGCTAGACTATGTACTATGTACGTAAATTGCATGTGCAAACGTGTCGTTCTCGTAGATATCAGAGCATGTGAAAGGAAACTGGTGGTAGAATAAATCATGAGGACATAAGTGCTTTTTCATTTAATTCAATTCTGAGATGCTATGCAATCGCGTTCTCATGGGAATCACACTTGTGTGCAATCGAATGCATACAATCGGATGTGTGCAATGGAATGTACAATTGAACATAGCTATCGCCACGTCCACTTGTCATTCCTGTTCCCTATTCTGCTCCTATTGTTACATAACATCCCACTTTCCTTCTTTTAGAAACCTCCTTGCCTCGCCTCCCTTTGGAGATCACCAAATTTATCCACGCCCCAATCACGAAAACCATACACTGACAGCGCACACTGGGGCCATGCATCTCGTCGTACGGCCCCGCTGGGCCCCGTCCACAAATATTACGTGTCTACAACCGGCCTGTTTAGCGTAGAAACTGCCGAGCGAGGTGAGCGAGGGCGTGAATTTCAGCACGGCGAACAGTTTGTGCATGGTTTACGGCCGGTAATCACACAGACGGGCGAGATAACAGGAGCCAGACAAGATGGATGCCAAAGTGAGCACTTACCTTCTACTGCCGGAGGCGATACGGAGCTAATGTCGACCTGAGGCCACCTCCGCGGTGCTCCAGCTGCGCCGTGCCCGTCGCAACAGCGCCACAAACGTCACTGCCGCACCGAATTCGCCGTCTGTGGGATAACAAACGCAGTTTGGTTAGAAGGGGGTGTGCTGCTCCGAGGGAGGGGAGAGGGGGCACGCTGGGTCAAAAGAGTTGCAGCGGTGGCGCAGCCGGCGGCGGCGGCGGCGGCGCGACGCAGGGTTTGTTGACAGTGCGCCGCCGGGACACGGTCACACGTCACAGACCACTTAGCGGCCGAGGTCACCGTGATTGGGCCCTGTCTGCCGGGCGGCGGCGGCGACAGAGGTCAGATTCGTCTGAGGGGCCACACCCACCTCAGCAGCTGCTTTAAACGGGACCTGTTTACTGGATCTCAGACATGCTGAGCATCAGCAGACTGACGTCCTCTGACGTCCACTGACGTCAGGCCGGCTGACGGAGACAGGCAGGTTCAGCTGATGTGTTTCGAATGGAACGGATGGGCCTGAAGACCTCGCTGCTTTGTCAACGGACGCCGAGCTAAAAGCGCCATTATCCGCATAGAGAAAGCCGGATTTATGGTGTATTTACAGGCGATATGATACTCGATTTCTATTCATATCAACCCATTAGTGCAGGGATACGTTGAGAGTGGGCCTGCGTTCCTAGTCTATTTATGCACTGTCTGTAGCTGAATAGCTCGTGTTTGTTTACAGCAATTACCTAAAATCAGAGCGTAATCGTACTGAAATGTTCTATTCCGGCTGCCTAAGATACAATAATCAGTAAATAAATGATACGCCTATCATTGAGATAATGACTTCTAGGCATGTTCCTAGCTCGTAGATCGCTTATTGTTCGAATAATAAGCGTTGTCTTATTTCGTGCGGCTTCAAGACATCAACACTATGTAGAGGAGTCGTCAAATGAAATTGCTATTTTCATAAACGGATACGTCTCTGGAGGTTGAGCTCCCCTCACTGAATGGGTGCGTATGAGGAATAGGTGTTATTGTTTTCTATCAACATATTTGTGGGAAAACAGTTCGCTGCTTTTGAACACGTCAATTGCTGGAGTGAACGTTTTCTGAGTGATAAATGAAATGCCAAATTAGTTTATGTTCTCCAACAATTCAACTGAAAATATACTGCGAACTTCATGGGTTCAGACTAGAATTGACTTGACGGGGCCATAGCAACTTAGGATTTTTAGTGACAGTGGCGGATGAGCTAATGTTTCTGTGACTTGATGTGACAAGACGTGATATGATGTGTGTCTGCGTGTGTGTTTTGCCTCTCACGTCTGATGGCGCAGGCTGCCCCAGGGACTGATGGTCTCCCTATATGATGGATGGAGGACAGGCGTTGGCCGTTTTCTTTAGCGGGGTTCTGTTTGCTCGGAGGACCCCTCCATCTTCGGAGAGACGACACCAGCCCGAGTGGTGAGTGAAATAACCAGCGGCTGTGTGGGGCTCCGGTTCAGGGGAAAGGGTGAACATCTTGGGTCGCAGCGCAAGAATTAATCCAAGCCTATTAAAAAAAAAAACAGCGAGTCTGGGTAAACGCTGCGTTTCAGCAACTAATATTTAGCAACTAAAAATTAGCTGTAATTTACCAATGCAATGTAATAGACTTAAGGTTCTTTAGGAGCGTTTTCGTACTCTCCGCTTTTCTGTACGCTAGGGCGACTCACTGTCCAAATATGGGTGACCGAGGACACCGGGTAAACACGCTCCGATCAAAGGATCCGCCGCTGTCGGGTCCCGCCCGACGCCCGTCCCCGGAGGGCATCTCTCTCTGTGCGCGTGACGTCATCGGCCGGGTGACAGGGGCGGCGGAAGCCAAAGGGCTGATGTCACCCGCCGCGCCGTGGCGATACGGTGGGTCACGAGGGTGGCACCAGGAATGCTGAAAAAATGCCGTGTTCAGCGGGTGTGGCTATCGTGCGGCGCGCGGGCGCGGGTCGCGGCTGATGCAGCCGTGTTTGTCTATTGCATGAGATGGAATGGGGGGGGGGGGGCGGCAAAGGGGCCGCGGGCATTGCGTAACGGCGGCGACAGGGGAGTGCCGTTGGTGCGGGGATTTCACATGACGTGGTGCGCCATAAACGTCACCGCCTTTGTCCGTAGGTATGTGTTTACAGGGGTGTTTGCTAAAATGAGCTTATACTTAATCGTACCTATATGGATAACATTATGATCCACGAAATGAATGTTTTGCTCTCAAGTGAAAATTAATTTTGTGTCGAGCAATTTTTACATCCCACATGTGAAACAAATAGCATAATGTGAAACTATTTAAGGTGAAGCTTTTAGCAACGACTTTCGAGCCAGAAAAATAAAACTGGATATTTTCATCAGGCTAAGTTTCCTTTTTAATTTTTGCTGATTCATTATTTGGATTTGAACATTTAGCAGCGATTTATGTTCCTTAAGTGCGTGTTAATTGGTATGTAAGCACATTGGTCATGTGGCGACAGGCGGGTAGCCGCGTCCCCAATGGACCATTTAGCTTATATCACGGAACAGATACATGTATCGACATGTTGAGCGATGGTCTGTTTTACATCCAACTTGCTCGAAAAATGTCCAGGCACATGTCCAGATGTGACATAGAGCAGGTGTTATGCGCCCATGTGCAGCTCGGTGTCCTGCCCAGTGTCCCGCCCTGTGTTTTGTCCGGTGTTCTACACGTTGTCCTGCCCTGTGCCCTGAACTGATCGAGGATACTCCACAGTCCACTGGTTTGAACTTTTAAGTATCAAAATGGTTGAACTTTAGTTTCTGAACTACTGGGAAAAACGTTCAAGCCGCACGCATATAACAGGCAGATTCGGGGTGAACGCGGACAAGCACTTTGATCTCAAGTCCTAGTCAAGCATTGTTAACACTTTCTGCTGAGGGTTCTCCCAATGTTGTGACCGGTACTTCCTTCAGAGCTGGCCGCATTTGACGTTATATCTGTGGTGAAGAGCTCTCAACGCAGGCTGAGTACAGAAGAACTAACTGAGGCCGGGACTGCTACGAGGACTTGCCGGAAATTTATCAGCGCCCTCTTCTTGTAAAAACATTTGCTAAAATTGGGTTAGATATTTTTATCACACCACAGCATGATAGGAAATCAGCTTCGAAAACATCCGTTTCACACGAAACCACCTGCTTAATCGGAAAGGTGCCGATGTCTGGGCATTGCCAAATATATTTATACATCCCACGTGGAGTCAAATTATGGAGCGGCAGCATCAAAATCGAATTCCCTTCAAACCTGGCTGCCGGGGGCTGAATCCAGTCTTCCAGGAACCTTTCTTCATTACCAACACCTTCGGATGTAGTTCACGGTTAATTGGCTACCTCGGTTCGTCTAATCTTGTCGATGGGCATCGGAGTTTCTAAGTCCGGTCTGCGCTGGTGATCATCCCAGGTACCTAGAGGTAATCGAACGGAAGCCACGGCCTCCTTTTCCTGGCGCTAGCTTCCCTGAACTCGTCTGCACCCTGCGGCTAGTTCCGGCCTTCTAACTACCCCCTGGTTTGCTCCTACGCCTGCTCCTGTGTACCTCAGGTCAACATTTGTCGAGAGCACATCACAGGGACCGGCTGTGCTCACAGAGAAGAGGGGGAGCCGCCACGGTTCCTTGTTTCCCAAACCAGCCATCGGAGATGTCGCCATTCCAGATGGAACTTTGACGAACGTGCAATAACGTCATGCTTCGGAAACGACTTCAGCTATCTGATGAAACCTAGATTAAGACACGCTCTTAGTAAAGAAGCAAATAATTGCAACTTTAGCCGCCGGTTTGGTATACGAGCATAGCATGCAAATTAAACTTATTTGTCTAATTTTACACGCACGCGTTGCAACCGCAAGCTATCCGATATAGCTCATGCTTATCTCGCTCATTGAGCATATGAATGTTGATAGAATGTCACGATTGTGCGACTAATGCATATTTATGCTGTAATTGCAACCATGGATGAAGCAATTCAACAAAGATCTGGGTCATTTTCTAGAAGCGCTGCTCGGCGCCTGGTTTGTTCCAAGCGAAGGCGGTTGTTTGAAATTCAATATGGTCACCAAAGACGTTAAACTAAAACGCCTGACGTCATGACACTCAAGTGCCCCTTGAACCATACTTGTTTCATTAGAAGACGCTTCATGAGCTTCCCGAAGCGGTGCGACTGAGACGCTATTTCGAAATGATACACTACATTACCGGAAAGCTCTAATGCACGTGGAATGTGCTTTGTGTAGAGTATGCCTTGCGATAAAGCTATGTTTATACGAGTCAACTGTCGGAAGTGATGAAGACAGCTGTAAAAGATGAAGCACGCCTCCATACGCCGCCACTGGTGGCATGCAGATGTGTCTCTCCAAGGCCTGAATTGTCAGCAGTGAAATTTGGAAAGACATCCGAATCAATTTAGTAGGTATATTGGTCATGCACTGTAGGGTCTTGACACTTGATGATAAATTTCAACAGCGCATTTATTAGCTCTTTGCTTTATCGTAATTACTTGTTTATTGACTTTTATTCGTTTCTTCGATTTCATGCAGCCATATGTTTTCAGCATTCATGCAATTCACTTGCAATGTGATATCCAAGGATTCACCGCAAGTGACTTCGATTTGTTTCATCTGACTTGGTGACGAAATCCCGCCAATCCCTTATCAAATGGCCTCCGCTCAATTTTCACACCTTGGTGGAGCCATCAGGTACCACCTCTATAGCCGGTGTGACACCATCTGAGCGACAGAACCGCGATACGGCCTCATACCGGTCAGGCGGCAGCACCATCCATCTCTTTTTCGGCGGCGTTCATTTCCCCTTGGCTGACATCCGGGACCTGTGCTGGCGGCGAATGACCGCTATCTGACCGTTTCAGGTGCCCGGCGGTCGCCGATCAGGGCCGCAGAGGGGGGGGGGGGCGCCGTCTGCACGGGATCCACCGCCGATTTGTGGGTATTTCGGGGGTGCTGGAGCGCTCTGAGGACATTTTACGATCGTGTTGCCTGTGCCGCAGCGGTAGGCTGGACCCATGGTACCCGGTGGTCTGCTGGGAGACGAGAAGAGGAACGGAGGTGGTTGCTGGGGT